TAAGTTTCCTTGAAAGTATAAATTTCTAAGTCACTGTTTCAGTCATTCCATCAAACTTCAGGAACAACCAGTATCAGCTCTGTACAAACCACAGCCATCAGACCCTTGGAAGGACTCTGTCTTAAATAACAACTTTGAAATAATTTGTGTTCAAGGTGGAGTAGCTGGCTGTGTTAATAAAACAAAGTTCCTTACAATTAGTATGCCCACAGGGAAATACACATCTCCATGCTTATCAGCTGCAAATAAAAATACTTTTCACTGAGACTTGATTCTAGTCATAAGCTAAAAATAACTGGGTACAGTCAGAATTTGAATGCAAAAATACATCTTTTACAGGTCTAGAAGAACTGGCTTCTCCAGAATTCCACAAGTAAGTTATAACCTAAGCTGCTCCCAAGTGCACAACTACCTCAGCTCTTTGGTCTACCCAGGTCTGTTGAACACCCCAGCTCCATAAATGCCTGAAGGATTAAGTGATGTTCACAAGGAGCTCACAGCATTCCCCTGGGGGATTTTACAAATCCAAACAATGCATGTTTACCAAAGCCACAAACCCACAGCCAGGCAGGAAGGCAGCAGGGTGGTGGTTGGAACTGCAGCTACAGCTTGAAGAAGCCCAGTAAGACAGAGATGTTTGCACCTGCACTTTGATGAAGCTCACTCAGGTTCTGTGCTTCACATGACATCTACTCAATTTCTCACTTTCTAACCCTCCCTCCCCAGAGTGCTGTTAAAAAAGAACAGCTCAGCAGCTCAGGAAAGCAGCAGGCACAGAGAGCCAGTGCTGGGCCATCTGAAGCCTGGAGATCTCCACCACTACTGTGAAACAAACCTTTCACTCCAGGACCAACAAAGTCCAACACACACATCTGCAAGCCCCAGGAGCTCCCACCTCCTCTACAGCAGCACATCTGGCCCTCAAATTCAGACTCCACTGTAGTAAATACTAACTTGAAAGACAGCAAACTTATAGGTGTAGGGTGTTCTAGACATATGCTTTCTTCTTACCAGAGTCTGAGATCCCACAAGCTACACCAAACTGTTAACACAGAACTGCCTTCATAAACATGGCAATTTTATGTACAGCCTGATGGACACAGTCACTGAAACAACACTGAGGTTCCTGAAACAATCAGGACTGCATGAATGTGCACTGACAGATTTCCATCTCTGTCTTAGTTCTGAAAAGCTTTTAAAAGCAGGATTCTATCCTCCACCTGCAAAAGGTATGTGGACACCCCAGCCAACAGCCAAACCAAGTTTGTCTTCTGAAGTTCTCCCCACTCCTACATCTTTCACTGAAGATACAGCACATGAAGTCAGTGAGACTTAATTTCAGCTGAATGCTCTCACTACATAGTAAGCTCCATCCTTACATGAATAAACCCTTGAATTTCAAAGTGAGACAGGAGCATGACTTACCATCTAGTAGTTCTAGAGTAACTGAGGGATCTACATATTCCCACCAGTGTTTTCCATCAGTTGATACTGGAATCTCCCAGTTGGACCACTTGCAGGCCAAGTGAATGCACACACATGCTATCACTGTGGGCTTGTACTGAAGACAGAATGTGGTAAGGTGAAGGCTGTTGCACACATTTTGTAATGAGGAACCAAAGGAAATCAAACATGTAAAACAGAAAACCCAAACAAATCAACCATTAACATACAGAATGAGATAGCTTGTCAATCAACAGCAATTAAACATTTTGTTGAATAAGTTCATAAGATACCTACTGCCCTAAGAAAACAAAGGGCTGGGCATTTATCTGGTAGAAAAGTTTAATTTGATTTTGCTGTCAGAAGCTTGATGAACGGTAAATAAATTTACCAATTATTCTACTGTACTTAAGTACCAAAAGGGGCAGTATAATATGGTGAATTAAAATTCTGCAGTATAATGCACAGAGCTAATTGTGCAGTCTCTGAATGAGACAATCAGAAGGTCCCCAGCAGCCAGGTGAGTTATTTGTGGGCTTTGCTTTCACCAGGCCTGGATCTGTGACATTTGTGATGCTGTCTTCAGCTTCCAGCACCACAAACACATTGGTTCACTTTCTCTGCTTTAGCATAACTTCTCTTAACAGCTGCTGAAGTGCAGAATTTTGTCCATCAAGGAACCACAAGGAGTTATTTATTTATTTAGAACAGTTCTAATAACCAGCAGATACTGTTTAAAAACTCTATCTACACATAATGTAATTCTCTTAAATAAAGGTTAAAGTAGTTTTGCAAGAGGCAAATTGAAGTAATCAAGGCTAAAGTCTGCCCTCTAATTCTTTCTATGACAGGCTATGTCTACAAAACACCCACTTGGCATCCTAGGACTATAAATTTATCTAAGTACTTAAGTTTTAAAACTATATATTAAGATTAAAGAGCTGTTTCTAAAAGAAATAACATTGGGCTAGTACTAGTCTATCTAAAAAGAAAAATCAGCTAGTTGAAAATATCTTAGGCCCACTAGAATTTTATAAGTTAAGACTGAATCAATATATTTAAAGTTAAGAGAAAACTGCCATTAACTACAAGTGTAAACTAAAAATAGTTTTGTACTTACCAAGATGCTCGGATTTCTAGGTTAAGTTTATCTCTTTGTAATCTTTAGCTGCTATTCAGGCTACCAATTTTAGACTTATGCACTCACAATCGAGAAAAAGTCATCAGAAAGCACCACTACACTTCTCATTGTGCATTTAAGCCCTTTGTGCCATCAGGCCCTTGTCCAATACACCGCACTGCAGGCGGGGAGGTACCACCACTGGAGGTGGCCCAGTCCCCCACTGCAACAAGGGTAAGACACATCAGGGGGCCCTGCAGTAAAGGAAGCTATAGTGTGCTACAACAGTGCAACAAAGAGGTTCAGGATAACAACCTGTTGGTAGCCATGAAATAGGATGTCTGTGCCAAATCCTTGCTTGCTGTAAGAAAAGAAAAACAAAAGAGATTAAAGAACTGTACTAATTTGTCAAGTTCATTTCAAAATTCAAGCAGTTTTACCTTCCAAAAATCACTGCTGGGTATTTTTAAAGTACTGATCTGGCTTTAGCTAACTAGCCTTTAAAATAATCTTTTCTGAGACACAGAAGACTGAGACACACTCAGTGGGGGAGCTGGACTGTCATTCCCTCAGTGCCCCTCCCTCCCCCTGCACAGCCCACAGCACAGTTCCCTCCAACAGCTGCCAGGTGAGCACTTTCCTCTGGGAAGCTCTGCTTCCCCACCCTCACCTGCAGGGATCCCTGCTTGGAGCTGGGAGTGCAGCAGGCACTCAGGCCCGGCCAATTCACAGCACAGTGCTCCATCTGCTCTTAGAGGGGCACCCTCCCACCTCCCCAGAGACAGCCACACCTCTCTCCCAAGGCCCTGTAACACAGCCAGCCCCCAAGCCACGTGGGAAAAAAATTCAGTTTTTTGCTCCTTCTAATTAAGAGCATTGTAGTCATAACATTTTGTTCCATATTTGTTAAATCTATGGCAAGGCTTCGATAGGAAACAGACAAATTCATTTGAGTTAGTCAGAAAAAAATACCGAAACAAACCACAGGACTGCAACATGCCAGGAATGAAAAACTGACTTGGGCTGTTACAGCCACAGAGTGCTGGCCCCTAGAGTGACACCCCAATGCTCCTCACTCAGGTAAGAGAACTTACTGTAACATGCATTTAATGGAATAGCTGGGCACAAGGGGTTTAACCGCAGATTGAATGCAGCCTTCATTGAATTCTTACTTTGACACTATCACTTGAAATCAGTGCTACCTGCAGAGAGCGTAGTGTTGAATTTTATGTCAAAGGGAATACTGGTAAACTTTTATTTTAATAATATTTCTAGAAAGTTTGAGAAATGCTACAGTGGCTTTTAAATTTAGTTTGTAAAAAGCATCTTAAAATGTGATTTAACTCAACTTCTAATAATTGCCAAGGAATAAAATTCAGATTTGTCTTTATGCTACACAGCCAGGAAGTGCCATAATCTAAGAAGAATGTGGAAGTTGCAAGGTAACAGGATCTGTTCTACACACAAATTCTACTAATCCATAATAATCAGAAGGTGAACTGACAATGTGTTATGCCATAATATTTAGTTTGCACGCTGTAGTGGTAATTGCATGCCAAAAAAACCAAGGAGTTCAACCTCTTCCTCCCATCTAAAAAGAAGGTGGAATCACCAAAAGAAAAAAAAAAAAGAGAAAAAGTAAAATTAACAAATAAAAATACACAATAGTTGAATGGTTGAGTAAGACTAAAATTCATGTCTTGCTCTTCATTTTTCATCAAAGAAATACCTTCAAGGATTTATATATTCTGTAAAGTTACATGTTTGAATTAAGGGAGCAAGACCAAGAAGCATTTCTACTCTCATTGAAATGTCCCTTCTGGACAAGGAAGAAAAGCAGATGCCAGAAAACTTCTATTTAACATCAGCTTGAAAGATGAGTAAATCATAACACATACCTGGAAGAAAAGAATCACATCTTGAAACACACACTTAAGCCTCAATCAAAAATTACTGTGCTAAATACCTTACCTAGACTAAAAGCAGTATGATTCTGTTTCAATTTGTTTACAGCTAAATAATAATCATTGCCAAAACCAGCAAGAAACTTCAGCTCACAACTAAAGCCTTTGATAACACAAGGCTCAATTGAAAATATCCGTCCCAAACTCTTCTATGTAGGGCAGCTTTGGTTTAGCAGAATCCATCAATGAAATTAAATTTAATGAATTTTGGTTCCTATATTTTGGTGGTTTATTTCCATTATAGTAGTGGAAAGTGCATCTCCAAAATTTAAATCATCTTGAAGCAGGGGCTAGAACAAGCCAGCAGAGCTGCTCTTATAACTCCCAAGCCGCAGGACCGATGGCTACGACACCAGCCATGAACGACCAGTTTTAGATTTTAGCATCATTCAGGAGTGATTTCAAACATCCATCCTGTCTCACTGCTGCAGAAGCAGCCATAAAACAGGGATTAGTGAAATAGTCATCAATATTTTGAAACAGGACTTGCTGTCTGACACACCTTCCGAGAGGCTGTCTCCAAGGAATTGCCAACTGGAAACCAAAAAGCTTTTTATTTGGCATAGCCACACAATTCACTGCTTGCAGTTCCAAGATACCTGAGTCTTTTCTTCAACACAGCTTATCTTGGATCTTGGGATGCTCATGAAAACGTGACTGCCAAGTGCCCATTAGGAGCTGGTAACTGGCTATGCCTGGCCCCTGACAACGTGTGAGCATTCCCCAGAAAGGAGATTGCAGAAAAGCCAGTCAGCATCAGAAGAGAGAAGCTTGCTGAAGTCCTTCTGGCAAAAGCAAAAAGCCCCAGGCTCTGAACAGAGGGATGCTGGAAGGTGCCTGTTGTATCTGGAAAGGGCTGGAGGAGGCCATGGTGTTGGCATTCAGGTCTGAGCAGTCCTGGTGGCTTTAATTCTTGGAAGTATTTAAAACTTGGAAACAGGCCCACAAAAACCTGAGGTCAAAGTTCAGAATGGGAAGGCCGCCTGTAGCAAGTGCTGGAGTGCAGCTGGTGTTTCACATCTTTCCACACCACTAAGATTCAAATTTTCCTCATGAGAATACCCTCTGAAAAAGCTGAGGCATTTTCACCTTGTCTTCTGCTGATTTTGTCTTTCTCAGGCTGATTTAAGCAATGGCATTTGCACACAGATACTATGGGATATTTGAAGGATTTGACAGTGCAATTTTCAGAAATGATTAGTAAGGATCATGGGTGTTCGAGATACCTGATAACCTGCAGAGTAGCGAGAACAATCCTAGAAATCCTTGAGATCTCATCTTCAGTTCCAAAAGGTTGTGTTCCAGCACAGGGAAAGGAGTGACTGAAGACTTCCCAAGATGGAGATGAGGATACAGATTCCAAGTTTCACCAGAAGCAGGCTGAGAACAGACTGATTTTGCACCAGTGTAAGAGGACCATGACACAATCTTGGCACCAGGGCAGTTCCACCACTGATCACTCAGCTAGTGTTGAAGGCAGCAAGGGCCAAAACCAGAACAGTTTTTGGTATTTTGGTGGGGTTGTTTTTCCCCTTTTCTTTTTTCCTTTCTTCTCTTCACTACTGGAGCATTCTTGGAATGGACACTGAAGCTTGCTGACTGGCCCTCACATATCCACTGCCTTCAGATTCCTTGGACCTGTGGGATCCTAAGGAATGATGGTTCTGTCTCCTCTTCTCAGTCTCTTGACACTGAGGAAGAATGGTGCAGAAAAAATACTAAGCCCACACCATTTTCCTTGTCTGCTACACTGACCAAACTGCAAAGATGGACCAATTCCATTAACCCATGAGTCTCTGAATGCTAGGAGTCACTAGGTATTGTATGCCTGAACATCATGAATCATTATCTATGCATCCAGTCACCCCTTCTCTGCAATGATCTGTGTTGTCTAGTAACACCTTCAAAAAGGCTTTTCATTTTAGAGAAGAATTCATTTTTTCTTTAGTTGTATGTTGAAGCAATTATATTTATTTGCACCAACTCCCACTTACTAGTTCATCTTCAGCTTCCATCAATTGGTTCTGGTGTGCCACTGCCAGACTAGACAGTCTTCTGACAAAGGACTTGGTTGAGTTTTTTGAGCATCATCAACACAACCTGGGTTTTTAATTTTTCATTTTGTTTTTAAAGGGGATAGCTTACAACTTAATAACAGGCAACAGTGACTGCATAAAACAAATTACCCTGGATGCAAGACAGCAAAAAGTGATGGAGAGAATCAGCCATCCTCTGAGGCACTGCAGTTCAGTCAGCCAAAGGGCCCTTTCCCACCACATGACAATGCAGGGCACAAACCCTAAGCCAAATCCTGAAGCACACTTGCAGATCTCAGCTAACATTGCTGCTTCTTTTTTGATACTCAGTCAGACATGACATTCCTCCCTTCCTCCTCTCTCAAACATGCAGTTGGAAGTTTTAATCATAACAGGCTTGGCTAAGGTAATCATCTTTATTCAAAAAAGGTATCTCTGCCTTCTGAAATGGTATTTTTTTGTCCAAGATGGTGATCCAGAACTGGATGAAGTAACCTTGGATTTCTTTAACTAAAGGTTTAACACTGAAAAATCTTAAGTATATTTTAAAAGCTTCAGGACTCAGATATCTGAGTGTTGCATCTACTGACCTTGAAAACCCACACTGTCCAATAAATAAATGTTCAGGGACAGAAAACTGAACTGCTACCACTGTGTCTTTGAAGATAATCACAGTGCCCATGGGCCCATCTCCCTGTCCTCTCAACAATCAAACCAATGTTCCATGGCACTTATTCTATCCTTGCCTGACTTGCATGCATGACTTCAAATCTCATGCCTGATGTTTTAAATGAATTAATTCGTTTCCTTTTTCTTATTTTAATATGAGGTACTCAAATCTCATGTTTACAGTCTACACCACTCCTAGGGACATGTTCCCAAGGATTCCATCCACACACACACTATGGAGCACACCTCCTCCAGTGAGCAGGTTTTTGAACATCAGAGACATTACATTCACTGTGCACCAGTCCTTGAGCTACATGGATTTTCAGCCCTCACTGAAGTCTTCAGATTTCAAGACTTGGTATCACTTTAGACTTCTAAGTATTTAATTCTTCTGACATTAAATACTAGTTTAAAGATGTCAAATTAAAAAATTCACAGTATCTTCAAAGTATGAATCTTGTCAGTACAAAAAATTAGCTTACAAAACACAAAGAGAAAGGCTGAACTGCCTTAGAGTGGTATCTACCCTTGAAAGGAAATCCAGTTTGTGTAGCAGTGTGCCAGTGTGTGATACACACTGATGTGGAAATCCTGAGGCAATACAACATTCCCCCACCCCTCCCCACAGCCCCAGACACCACACAGAAGCACAGGGGTTCCCCAAGAGAGTCAAACGTGCCCACATTTACAGTGACCAACAGCTAAGAAAAGCCAAAACAAAACCCTACAGGGCAGCTGGTGCAGACTACTGAGACTTCAGGTGCAACTGGACTCGTGCACCAAGTCACAACCAAATCTGGGCAGAAAGCAGAGAATCCTTATCTTACAGCAAGCAGAGCAATAAAACTACTTTATATGCAAGTAAGTTACAGCACCAGCCCTACTCAGTGTCCAAAGACACTCACCAGGAAGCTACAGCAAATAAGAGAAACCCTTCCTTAAAAGAACACCATTAATTCCAGAGTTACTACAAACCAAATCTAGTTAACAGGGTCAGGCTGTACCTAAATTTTATATATTTTATAAAGGGAAAAGAAAAAACACCAAAAACTTAGAAGCACTTATGCATTTCTCACTGCAAAACCAGCTAATGATTAGAGACTAACAACCATGGTCTAATAATTTCAAAACACTTTTTACTTAAGAAACATAATTAAAATGAAAAGCTTATTTTAGATGCTTTTACAACTGAAACCTAATTTTTTTCATCCTACATCTTATAAGAGGGTGTTTTAATCTTTTTTTAAAGCTCCAAAAGAAACCAATTCAAGAATTAAAGAAGATGTGCCAAAATGCCACCAAAAAGATAGAGAACAAAACAGGTTTCTAGCCAGTCACATGAATGAGCTGCAGACAAGTTACAGGATATGTTTAACTAAAGGTTTGGGGTTTTGTGCAACCATCCAAAGCAAGTAAGGACACACTGCCACAGAACAACAATTAGTCACACCTATTTGCATGTGCCAGCAGACTTGCTATGCACTCTCTATCCCTCAGTCCATTACCTGAAAAGATTTGCTAAGACAAAAAGCTGGCATTAGCCATCAATGGGTAAAACTACTTCAGAGTGAAAATCATCAGCTCAGAACCACACTATGGATCTGGCCAATCAGTTTGCAACTGCTTCTGGCATTCCAGAACATGTGGAACAGGTACTATTAAAAACAAAGCTATAAGAAAACAAAAAAAAAAAAAAAAAGAAGGACAAAAGACTGGACTCTGTGACTCTCTAAAGGTAAATATCAAACCTTTAATAATTAATTTTAAACATACTCTTTGGATAACATAGTTGGTGAAAAATCACGTTAGACAAATAACATTACTTTCAAATTTTACAAGAAAGGTAAAAAAGGACTTACAGAAGTGGTTAAAAGTCACTGACCTCTCACTAACTGTGTACATTTCACAACATCTGTGTGTGGATGTTCAATGGTAATCTCAAAACCTGAGGAGTTACAAATACATTTTAGAATTATACATTTGCATCTGTAAAATAAAAAGCAAACCCCTTATGTTTCCCCACAGATCTAAAAGATTTGCTAAACTTTTGCACTACAGAGTAAGTAACACTATTTAAGTGCCTTTTATTCTTTACCTTTTCATACTTTTGAATGGCATATGGTAAAGCGACTTTGAAATCCATTACTAAAACATTTCTCCAGTAATCTCAAACCCTGTACACTTGTAACCTGGGAAATTACTATATTTTTAAAGCTGAATATATCTGAACAATTTCTAGCAAGTTAGTATGTCAGTAAAAACTGTACTGCAAACACAATGGTGTGCATGTATACTTTTATTAATTGATTTCTAGCACTTAAACATGTTGCATGTATGAAATTAGAAATTAAATCAGTTTGTAGATCAGTGACTTAAGAAACCCTTCTTGATTTATGACACTGTTTTAAGAACTAGGTCACTACTGTGAGTTTTTTTTTTAACAATACCCAAGTGGTATTTAAGAATATCTGAGCAAGTCAGCGTTCTCAAGCCTCTGGCTGTAATTGTCTCTGTGGTATTTTAGTCAGAAGAGTGTCTTGACAGAACATTCCACTTCAAATTTTGGAATCATCTGAATCCATTAAATGGCTACTCTACAACTTGTTTTCTTCAGAGTCAGCACCTGCTGAATTACATAATGTTCTTCTATGGGAAGGCAGAACAGGGAAGAGCACTGGGTACAAAGCTCTTTCCAACTGCTCCAGGACAGGCACAGCCAGCCTACTACACCATGCTACCTTATGGGAAGAAATGCCAATGGAATTACTACTCAGAGTAAAATCTATTTGGAAGCCTACACATTTCTACCTCAAACTGTCAGAAACATCTCTTTCACAAGGACAGACACACCTTTCTTCTCCACAGTGAACACAGCAGAGCTGCTAACACAAAACTAAATTCAGGAGTTATACAGGAAAACAGTTAAATTCTAGTGTACCAACAGCACATCAAAATCCAGTTATTTGGGTCCCACTAGCTCTTTGTGGCAAGCTGGCTGCACAGGAGGTATTTAGAAAGACATACCTAAAGTTTGAAGCATTATTGTTTCAAGTATAACCAGCTCCTGGGCTTGTTGAAGGTATGCCTGAAACAAACAAGCAGACAGGTGAAGACACAAAATCAGAACTTCACTCCCACACTGCCTCTGTGGCACAGCAACACAGGACACAGCACCAGTCCCAGGCCAGCGAGCACTGCCAACTCCCAACACTTCACACTGGGGTTACTTTCTTCCCCCAGTACACACACTGCTGCAAATTCAGCTCCACCTGCCTGCCTTTCACAAGATTAACTTAGTCTGGATCTCAGACAATCTATTCCAGCAAAGCATTTTTGGGAGGTCAGGTGGGTGCTGTAAGAATTTCAAGATGGAGCAATCTCTTCACGTTTCATAACAAATAAGTGAGTCTTTAAGAAACTGCATTAAGTAATAGAAAGACTTAAATGGTACCAAAAAATGTAAAAAATACAAAGGCTTTTCTTCCTAGGCTGCAGAGAGCAATATTCCAGCAAGACAATGTAACAAATCATTAGGTGAAATGACATCTTTCAAACCATGTATCTTTGAAACCATAACTTCCACCTACATCACTCTTTGTATCCAGCTGTGGCTCTTGAGGATGAAGACAGGCATTTGCTACTTTAATAACATGTTCAAGTTTCCGTGGCTGTTCTTCCACTTTTGCAGCCAAAAACAATGCCGTGGGAGACATTATCTGAAGAAGAAAAACATGTGTATTTTTTAACTTTTTACAAGCAGGACTTGAATTTTTATGGAGTCTAAACTAGCACAGAAAAGGTTTAAGAAGTTGGATTTGTGGCTTTTTTTTTTTCCAGTTTTGAAGTCATGCAAGGCAACGAAAATATAACTAGTCATGTTTTATTTTGTAACTGATGCAATCCTCTCAGCAGCACAGGGAAGGAGTAGCATAATGTTAAATTACATTTGTGAGTAAAATGTCTGAGGTCAAACTAATTCTAGTTCAACATAAAATATTTTGGCCCAGAAGACTTAGTCACAGTAGAACAGGCTGTTTCAAGTTAAATATACCTCATGAGAAAGTTCATCCAATTTCTTGCACAGAGCGAGTCACTACACCATCTTTTCAGTAAAACAGCTGATCACAAGTTCTGGTAGCATTTAATTCTCCCAAAGAGTGAGAAACTTTGCAGAGAACTTTAATAAAAACAGCTTGTTATATAAACATAGGCTCTACAAGTACAAGGAACTTTATATATACACACATATATTCTTAGCAACTTTACTATATGCCCAGCAGTATCTGGAGAACAAAGCATAAGGATTTGTAAAACACCAGTTCTACCCAATGTCAGTAAAGAGCACACATTACATTTAAAGATGAAAATGTATATCAAACTCTAGGTGTCACAGGGTGGCAGTTCAGTATCACCTAAGAGGTAGCTGTGAAGTAGGATTTTGGTGCCTGCTGTCAGCTACAGTGACTGATGTGTGCAGGCAGAACACAGCAAACCACCAACCACTGATGAATTAGGTTCTCTTTGCATGCAAAAGCTGCCCATGTTAACCAGGAATTAAAATGGTACTAGAAATCATCTAGACATAGCTGATTAAAATGATTAAAATGAAGCCAGTATAAAGCATTTATTCAGAGACTGAAATAGCTCCTTGCTGAGTATTTCATTAATGCATGGTGCGAGTATTGGATTTCTCATTCAATGTCCAAATGGAACTAGGCTAAATAGGAGGCATAGCCCCCCTAAAGTCAGATTTGCTTTTTTTGCCAGTAAACAGCCCCTTTTTATGCCAAAATGAAACATTTGGTATAAAAATTTACACTATATGCAAAACTGCAACAAACCAATTAAACATTTAAGGGATTAAATTCCAGAAGCGTTCAAATGTACTGAGAGTAGTTTTTTGCATCCTTAAATCACTTTGAAATGTCTGCTTGGATCTTAAGTAAAACTTTAAAGTTGGCAGACTTGAAAATTGACACCCTGGTAAGGCAAAAACCTTTGATGAGTAGAAGTGTGCCATGAGAAATCTAGTAAAAATCTCAGTCTATAAAAACCAACCACCCAAAACAAGTCACAGGGAGCAAATTCTTTTACAAGGGAGACAAGAACCCCTGTTTTCTTTTTAAGAATCTTGTAACCTAAGCCTGATGAACAAATGAAATAAAAACCCAAGGTGAAGTGTTGCTGAACAAGGCCATATTAGCACTGTCATTTAATACTTCTGATGATTCTGTAGAAGTTTCTATCCCCATTGCTTGAAGTAATGATTTAAAATTCTGGAAGGAATTTCCTTTGCCAAGGACATAGTACTTGAAATGTATCTCACACTGGGAGGTAAAACTTTTAAACACTAAATATGATGGAAACACTTTCTGGAGTTCAGAAAGTGAGAGTATCAACAGCTCTGAAGTGGCAGAAAATGCAGAAGATGTCAGGCACCAACACACACATGTCATCTAAAGGGATTTTACAGAACTCAATTTTCAACAACTGCCATGGCTGAAAACATTTCCATTTCACAGAGGCATTATTTGAACCAAGTCACCAATGACCAGATAATTAAATCATCAGCAAATTCTCACACAGTGTTGCTCTGTGTCTGACTGCACCAAAGTTCTACTTCTTTCCAAAAAAGCACCATCAGGCTGACTCAGGATCTCTTCTGATTTACTGAAGCAGATCAGATCTGGCCAAGAAGTCTCCACACAATTCCTGATCTCCAAGACTTTACACAGAACACAGCTCTGGAGGCTGATTAAGTCAAGCTGATTAATTGTCATAGAACTCTGGTTCATCAGAAATCTATGTGCAGCCCAATTAACTATTTCCTTCCAAAAGAAGTGTTGGCTTCTGGCCAAAGAATTTCAGGTCTTTATCCTATCTAGGACAAGGGTTCTCACTCCCAGTTTAGAGTAGGCCACTATTTTTAGCTGCCTTGGTATTGATTCAGAAAAATAGACATCCTAGTAAAATTCCAGACTTGGCACAAATGTAGTCTTCAGTGAACACACCCTGCTAAGTGTATAACTGGCAAAGTTACTCAAATGCTTTCATTCATTTCCAATTACCAAAAATGGCAAAAAACCCAAGCAAAGTAGAACAAAAAAAGCGAAATTAAAGAAACACGCTTGACAAAGCAATAGTGTATTTCCTATATATAAATATCTTAATTTGATATAAATCAAAATAACTTAGAGTAATTATATACTATGCACCCCAAATAGTCTTTGAGAAATCTTCAGAACACATGTGATATATGACATTAAATCCCACTTTATAACTAGCCATGTCCCACAGAAATAGAAAAAATCCCCAAACCATAAGAGCCTTGTTTACACAACCTAAAAGCATTATACAGCAAGTTTCACTGGGAACTGTGGTACAAGCCCTTTTTCACTTAAAAGTACAAGGCAGTGTAATGACACAGGCACTCAGGAAAATCTCAGAACACATCAGCAGCATGCATGTAGTTTCCTGGGATCCCCCTCTCCCTTCCAATGCCAATATTAGTAGGTTTTTAGACTGATCCAGTTTAGCCTAAGACATTAAGTGCTTACAGTCTATGAGAGGGTTTTCAAGTTTGAACACAAAGAGCTGTGAGGAATTTTTTTTATTATAACCAGGAGCTCGCATTGCGTAAAAGTAGCAAATATGTTAAATTGCACTATTAAAACCAGAACTGAAGTACCCAAAACAGCCTCACTAGAGCTTGAAGCGTATTATGAAAGTTTCAAAACTTTGCAAAACTGCAAAGTCAACTGTTTAATACTGTGCTTTGGACAGGGCACAAGGAAGGGAATGCAGAGGACTGGAAACAAAACAGCCTCCACACAACCCACCTACCTTGCACTTGAAGGAAAACAACTCCTGATGCAGCCTTCTTGAGGCTCTTCACTAAGCTCCACTGTATGGCACAAAAATCCCTTGACATCATCAAGACTATTTTCAACTGGTTGGCTGGTGTTCCACATGGCATTTCTAAGGATTATATTTAAAAACTACAGCTCCCATTTGGATGCCTTACCTCTCACTGCCAGCATAGGAAGGATTTTCCCCCCCTTTCTGTTCTTCAAATCACAGTGTACTGAAGAGTAAGCATGCAAAAGAACTATTTGCTATATAACAGTGTAACACAACAAGTACTACAGAAGCAGTATTTGCAGAAGAATTTTAATTTTGAAGATATTTTAAAGTGTAATAGTGAGGCTAGTACTGCTTATAAAAAGCCAGCAAGCACCCTCCCCATCCCAATATTAGCACAGACTAACTTTATACTCAGCAACCCAAAGTTCCTATGCCCTGGTCAGCAATGTAGAAAGAATAATTTGTGCTGAGGAGATCCACAGTAGCTCCTGTCATTTGCACAGCCAGGGAAATTAGCAGTCAGGGCATCCAATTCTGCTTCCCAGAATTGGTAAAGCAAATTTCCATCCTCACTGGGGCACAGCAACCTTGCAAGGACTTTGCCTGCCTCGACTGCCACATCCAAACCTCAATACTTTCTTCTTTGTACCTAAATGCAAATACTCAGTAGGCAACCCAGAGCAACTCAAAAGTGTCTTGCTAGCTCACAGTAACTTCACAAAAAAGGGGATATTTGGCCAATAAGCAGTACATATAATCCATTCCCAATGAACCAAGACTACATTAACTGGTACATGCCACCCCTGAGGCTCTACAGATTGAAGATACTGTTGGGAATTCTGTTCCCTGTTCACAGATGACTCAAACTCCTGAAAGCCTGTAAAACTATTTAGCAGTAACTTATACTGAAGAAAAAGGCCATAAAATTAAGACAACAACTATCCCTGTTTGTTAACAATTAAGTGCATGTCACAGACATGACCTACATGTGTATTTGTGTAACCTGGCAGGTATACATGATGATAAATGTGCAAGTGCCTAAAAACATTCATCTACCAATAAAACAAGTCAACACAGGCCACATTTTTTTCAGCTGAAAATCATAAGGCATTCTGACTAATGGCCATCTAATTTTCTAGCCTCAGCATTCAGATTCCTTTCTGCCATGCATAAACAGCACCACATGCACACAACAAAGAAATATAAGAGATATACTGCACAAGTCTTACCTTTGAGACTGCCAGTACCTTACTATTCCTTTCCAAGGGTTACTTTCTTCTTGCAGAGATGAATACTGTTACATTTTTTAGCTTGCCAAGTACTCTGAAGAGTTGATATTAAGTATTTATTAGAGTTCTCGGCTTCTGCTTTCTCTACAGAGGACCTAATGGATGGTTTGGGAGTATTTTAAAAGTGACTCCACTCACTGAGACCCTGTTTGCCCTACAGAATTGTAAAAAGAAAATGCTCTTGCCCATCAGGACATATGGAAAGCCACTCTCTGGCCTTATGTTCATTAAGAATTACAAAAAGGAGTTCAGCAAGAATTGGTACTGCTGAGGTACAACCTGCAGCTCACTTGCCTTTAACTTTGAACATTATTACCTGAGAATTAATTAAACAGTACACTTCCCTGCCCTCTAATAGCTGCAGTTTCCATGGCAGTCTGCCCTTACATAGCTTACTTGGGAATTTTAACATTCATAATTCAACTTAAGCCATAGATTTCATATAAAGAGCACTGCACATTCAAACACTACTGCACTGCCAGTTCCAAGTGACTGTCATTCACCAGCATCCAGTGAGAACCCAAACACAGCAGCCAAAGCTCTTTGCTGCCTAAATCTAGCCCAGATTACCAGCTGACAGTGCAAGCAGCACTCCAGCAGGTGATATAACAGGTATGTGGGTCTATTTATAAACAGCAGCTCCACACTGAGCCATCTCTCCACTCCAAGCAGCTCCAGTTTATCAAGCCCACAAGCCATTCAAGAGTCCCAGAAAACTTTGGATGCCTCACCAGCTCCAGGTTACTACTACATGGGCAGAACAGCAGCAGGAGGGGAGAAAGAGGGACTTGCATGGATGAACACTGCAGTTCTGGCTGCTGGAAATTTCAGTTTAGCTCAGATTTTGCATGAAAAATAATTATATACACTTCTAAAATGTACCCACAAATGAGTATGTACTTCCAGCTAAAGAGGCACCAAACAAGATGCCCATTAGCTCAGCCAACAATAATGAACAAATTCATTCATTCAGGAAGAAGAGTTGGCTGTCCTTGTACCCCCCTGTGTACCTGCCCCAACTGCACACAGTGCAAGGTTTGCAGGAATCTACCCCTTGGCAGGTGAAGGTCTCCTCTGACCTAGACCTAACATCTGTCAGCTTCAATCTGTTTTGTCATTAGAAGATCTAAGAAAACTCATCCTTAACATTTAAACCACCATCACTATTAACTGTTCTTCCTAAGAACAAACAAACCCCAAGAACACCCAGACTATTATATTATTATTATTATTTTTCCACCTATTGCATACAGCATTGGACATTGAAAAAAAAAAAGCCTGACATTCCCAAGTTGTTATCTCCAGTTCCATACCTGTTACAATATTCCTCAATAACAGCTAGCATTTTTACTGCAAAATTCTGTTCTTAACAACACATTCTGTGCTCAGAGTAAACATATCCAGGTTATTAGACAAAACAAGATTTACCTCAACACATGTAAAATTTTTTCTTATCTAATATGACTTACCACTCAAGATGAGACTAGCTAAAATAATTCACACTGCTTCAGGAACAGCTACATAATCCATATGGATATACACACATAACCACATTTTCATTGTCAGACACACCATGCCAGAACTTCCACTGACTTCACCAAGAAAAATGTGTGTTCCTACACATTAGCCTTTCAAACTTCAGCACATAAACACCAGCCACATTTGAAACATCTAAATGTATTCTTCACACATCTGAAATGTGCTTGATGGTGTCTATTTATTTTTATTTTGATGGCAAAAGATAAAATCTAATTGCTACTAGTTAAAGTAATCCAAAGTTGAAAACAAGTATCGTTATTGCTTCTAAACCATTGGTAAGAAGCTAGAATTCTAAAAACAAATCACACTTCACACTCCTGCGTGTAACACTTCTCAGTCAGAACTGCCAAAATTATGGGCATGCTATAACCAAATATCAAATCAATCATACTTACATTTCGATTAAATTTTGTGAAGGAATGATGCATATAAAACCTGTGCATGTAAACAATTGCAGTATTTATGGTAAGCTGAGATCTGGAAGATTAAATGAAGGAAACACTAACATATTAAGAAAATTGTCGACAAGAACTGAAAGCGATGCGCTTTCCATATCAATGACTGCTCGCAACATATTGTCTTCAGCCGAAAATGGATTAGGGACGTGACACTTCAGAACTTAACTGATATTAACACGTATCGTTCCCATCTGTTCCGCAGACCATGTGGAGATTCCTACGCCAGGCTCCCCACAGTCACCCACGGAATGAGAACTCCTCAATGGGCGACACACACTGAAACACTCAAGTGCTTTTGTTTTGTTCCAGTTCAACTATTTCAGTCAGGGATTTGAGGGTTTGGCCTTGCTCTGATCGATTTTTTTTTTCCCTTTAAAAAAATCACATTAAAGAACGGCTAAGGAGGAGCTGCCCGTTTCGGGTAAAACAGCAACTCGGGTTTACTCCAGAGCAGCCCCAAGGAGCAGCTCCGGCCGGCAGCGCGGCTGTGAGGGCAGGTGGGAAGCCGCGTCCCCGAGCGCCGACAAAGAGCGCGGCGCGGGGGCTTCGCCAGGCTCCTCCTCCCATTCTGTGCCTCCAGGCCACGGCTCCATCCCGCGGGAGCGCCGGCCGGGGCTGCGGACCACCGGCAAGGCTCCCGGGGACGGCTCCCACGCCAGGAAAAAGGTCTCCCGCCGCCCCTCCACGCGCAGCCCCCGCCGCCCCTCACGCCCGTCCGCGCTCGGATACACGTTGAGGCGCTGGCCCATGTCTTGGATGAGGTTGGCCGCCTGCTGCCGGTACGAGAGCTCCTTGTCGGCCTCCACGCCGCAGCGCCGCGAGGGCGTGTTCTCCAGCTGCTCGCGGCTGAAGAACCAGCGCGACGCGGCCGAGGAGCCGCCGCCGCCCCGCGCTGCGGACCCCGCGGAGCCCGCGCCCGCCGCCGCCATGACACCTCCTCCTCCTCCGGCGCCTCCTCCCGCCGCCTCCATCGCGGCTCTCGCGAGAGCTCCCGGGCCCGCGCGCGCCCTCCGCCATAGAGTCTCGCGGCGGGGCGGCCGCGCGCCGGGCGGGGTCACGTGGGCTGCAAGGGCTGAGGGAGCGGCCATGGCGGGCGCGGCGTGAGGGCCGTCCGGGGATGGAGGCGTGGAGTCATGGAGACGTCTGAGGGCATCCAGTCCGCCCGTCAGCCCAGCACCGCCACTGTGACCCCGCTAAACCAGTGAACCCCATCGCCCCGTGCCCGCGTGTAACAGCTTGAACGCCTCCTGGGATGCTGACTCCACCACCTCCCCGTAATGCCTATCCCATTGCCTGAATGCTCCATAACTGCGTATCTATTTCATACGATACTTCAAATATCTAATTTTAGTCTAAGCATAACCTTTATGCTTAATAAAGTGAAAAACAGATAAAAAGTGTTTGAAGCAAGAGTTCCTTTTTTAATGCAAGCTAATCACAGAACAGCGTACTTGGAGGAGGGCATGGAAAGGGAGAAAGGAAGGAAAGATTTGGAACGCACAACTAGTTCCTAGAAAATTCCTGTCTGCTGGCAATATCAGCTTGTGGACACTTGAGAAATGTACAAGAAAATGATGAATTATTAGTACGAATTGTGTCATTGGACGTGAGCAGCTCCAGCATGTCAGTGATGCTCCTGCAGCGTGCGTGTTGTTCTCACTCCGTGCTCAGGGATGGATTTTCAGCCGTGGTTTGAGTTTATGGATTCAGGGTTCAAAGGGTGCAAAAAGGTATTTAAAGTTCTGATCACCGCTCATGAAAATGAGAGCTCTGCTCATGTGAGTGCATTCCACTGCCAATCTGCAGTGGTTTTGTTCACCTGCAGTTACATCACAATGAGCTCTTTTACAACTTCAGTGCCAGTTTTATACACGCAGTTGTAATCTTAGAACCAGACCTGACAGAATGCTGATGAAATATATACAGATGTATACTGCAGCACAGGCATGAATTACTTCCCTGATCTTCCCAAATGTATATATCTTCTTTAAGATCCTGTAAATTTAACCTCGAAGAATTCTCATGTAATTAGCTGATCTTGGACTTCATATTTGTGTGTCTGTTACAATCAAGGTGCAATATTTTACCTCATTGTTTAAATCACTGTGTAAAGCTCATGGAATTTGGGTGCTCAACTTCGATTCTTTATTCCTGCAGTAATTGGTGGAAGATTATTAAGAATGTTCTCATCTGGCTGCAATTAGAATTTTACATTAGCTTCGTTAATGAAATGAAAAGATGAAGGGAAGATTATGTATATATATATATCCCTGTCTTAAAAATCGTAACATAGCAAGAATAGGTAGAATATCATTAAATAATGACAGTGCATAATGAATATGATTTATGCAGGGTATGCACATTAATTAACTCCCATGCAGGATACTGCAATCACCCATTTAGTCACAGGTTAAAGTAATTAAATACAGTTCTTGCTATTGGAGAGGTTCCAGACCTTGGTCCCCAAAGATGTGACATTGCATTTTCATTAACTGGTTTCATTCATAAAAAATTGAAGAATTAATCCAATTAAAATGTATTGGAGGAATCACAATGTATTTTCCTCTTAAATCCATTTAAACATCTGTGAGAATCATGTATACTGAAGGGAAATATGAGAATGAAATTGTCTTTTGACTTTGTAATTTAATTAAAACAATCTGGTTGAAAAATCATACGTGCTGAAAACTCAATGCCTGCATGTGGATATTTAAATAAAAAAGGTCAACAGAAGTCTTGCAAACCTGAGGACAATAATGTTGTTAAAGCTATTTTCTGTCTCTTCTTTTCCTCTTACATAAAGAATTGATATTCTAAATCTCTGAGCTGCTGACTAATTAAGCTCCAACTACTTCACAAACCAGTTTTTTTTTCTTTGGGAGTGGGTTGGGCACTGTAAAGAAGGACAGAGTGTTCTTTGTTGTCCAACAGAGGCTGGGATCAGCAGAACTGCTGATGTTCAGCATCCTTCAGGTTCAGCCTGTGAAGGCTATGGCCAGAACTAAAAACAACTTCTGTCTAATACTGTTTTGCCTGGAATGTTCCAAGACTGAGCAGAGGAATGGTGGCACCACATGCAGCCAGCCCATGTTCCCACAAGAACAAAGCCTGTAAGTGCTAATCCACGTTTTTCTGACTGGTACACAATTCTCCTGGGAGGAGGATGCCTCACTGGATAATAATGAAAACCTGTTTCAATCAACAGTCTATAAAGCAAACCACCTTTCCATTCCCATAGCAGGACTCAAGCTAGGGAGAGCATTAGCACTTCAACATTTAAACTATTCAGCCTTACTTTTAGGAAGCATTTTGTAAGGAATAGAACATTAACCCGTACTGTTGCCAAACACTAGTATTTATTGTGACAGTGACAGTGACACACCAAGTAATACCCACACAAATACATTATTTCTGCACCTACAACCATATTGTTCAAATTGTTTCTGATGAATAAGTTCCCAGTGCTGTAGGTGGCAGCTGATATGTAAAGTCCCCACACAGACCTTTTCCATCCTGTCACAACATTGACAAAGCACGAGTGCACCTGCAGTGCTGAGCTGAGTGCTGTGGGCTGCATTTTCCACCAGTGGATAAAAGAAAATGTTGCCTTTTATTGGGCATCAACACTGTTTAAACTCTGTTTTAATATTCTTTCAGATTCTGTTTGGCTGCTATAACAAAGACAGAAATGTAGTGGGTACATAATTTTCTCAGCTCTTCCTTCCTGGGAATCAAATCCCAATAACATGGCATTGATTATAATTCAGAGATTCTTATAGCTGCAAAAGATGAAATCTCTCCTTTATTATGAAAGCAGGGATTTCAGAATTGTTTAAGAACAGCCTAAATCCTCAGGCAATACCTGTGCATACTCCTTTCCAGTACTCTTGCTTTTGTTTTGGAAATAACAGGAGACTGTCAGATAATTGTCAGTTTTATTTTTCATCTGCACGATTGCACATGCCAACAGAAATACAGGGATATTATTTCAGAAGTTTAGTTGCTTTAGTACTTCATAATTATTCAAATTGCTTTCTGCTAAGACCCAAAAATTCCAGAGCATTTCCAGCCTTGAGTTTATCCTGTTAAAACAAAACACATACACATGTTTGTGCTTAGTTCATATTTAACTCAAATGCTTTTTACTTGTGCTTTTAAAGGAACTGCTGCAAAGAGACTGAAGGGTCTTTTCCAGCCTTTGCAGAAATCAGTGTACTACACTGATTTTTCAGTGTTTTATCTCATGTCACATACAGAGACTTAAAAAGGAGGGAAAACCCCTCAAATGTAAAAATCATACCTTCAGTTTATAGTCAAAATCATCCATTGAATCAATCAATTTTCCAGGTTCCAGTTCCCCAAGTGGAAAAGGGTAATCTGTCCCCAAAATAACTTTGTCCTGGTAATAAAAAAGAATTTTACATTTTGCAGTAATATTAAACAATAGAGTTTAAATAATATGGATATTAATATGTACAATATTATAGTAACATTAATATTATATTTTAAACTCATAAATTTTAATTTTTACAGATTTTTAATTTCTTTTTAATTAACATTAAACAATAGAGCACATGCTTTCTGGAATGTATAATGAAGTACAAGAAATTAGATGTATATATTGGACTGATTAATTATGAAAGTGAATATGAAGATCATAACTTCCACTTAGAAAAGAACAAAGCTTGAAAGCAATGACTCAAGAATTTTTTGGATGAGTTTTATTTGGAAAAATTGCAGGATATTTATTAATAATTTTTGTGGTATCTAACTGAAGGTATGGTATTTTAATTCTCATAAGCAGAAAGTTGAAAATGCAAATCCCAGGCTTGAGGCATGAGTGTCTATTGTTTGGGTGAATAAAACATAATTAGAATTGTTAAAATGTTTGACTCTGTTACCAGAGTTCAACACTGAAATAGGGTGAAGAAAATGTCATTCAGTTATTTTCTGAAATGGTTTGTTTTTCTTTTTGTCAAATGCTTTTAAAAATTTTTTTTAATCTCCACTAGATGTCACCCAAAAGTCTCTGATAGAGCCTACAGAAATCTTTGCCCAAAATCTCAACAGAAGAGGCACATTCTATTGTTCTCTCCTATGTTCTGTCCTGTGTTCTGATTTATTATAGAAGAATTAACATCAGATTAACATAGGAAAATTTATACCCTCTGTCTAATAAATCCAGCACAGATTGATAGCATAGGCTAGATTTTGAGCATAGACTAAACAAAATAGATTTGGATGTGTGTACTTTGAAGAACCTAAATATATTCTTTTATTTATAATATTCAATACCAAGATGATTTATTCACATAAGAAAAACGAATGTCATGCATTTTATGATAAAAAAAAACCCACAACAACTAAAACCACACCAGGTTTATATGAGAAAGTGGGTTTTTAAGTAAAAGAAAAGGAAACATAGAATTTGTCCATCTGTTTACTCAGGAAGGTCATGTAAGACAGGAAGGTTTGTATATTCTTATTTATATCTCCTACATAACATACTAAACCAGAATTAAATCCCATATCCTCACTGCAATAATATATATTTTTCTTTTCCTCTCTATGTAGATATATTTTTTCCCACTGTTTGAAAGTATTTCACAGCTAATCACGGGATCTATTCATTAGCAGTAAAATTAAGAGCTGTAAATCAGTAAGAAAAATTTAGAAGCAGATTTCTGGCTGTGCTTCTGGCTGTGATCTTGGGCTGTTCATTTGTACCCTTTGAGCTTCAGTTTTGTACCCATCTATAAAATGGGGGTTGCAATACCTGTCTTTAGCACCCAGCTTCAGAGGAGTGCTGGGAAACTTCTGCTGATGAATAATGCTCCTAGCA